AGACTGAGCCTGCCTCCCCCCCTAGCAGGCTCCCTGCCACCCCAGCCTGCAGAGCCTCTGGCCCGGCCTTTACATTAAGTGCATCACCCTCATATTTGCTGGGTCCCCCTGTTGTCCAGCTGCTTGGCTCATGTCAGGTAATCGAGATTTTACTTGTGGGGAGGAGGTTGGGAGCAAAGGGGCAAAAATGCGACTATACAGGTAGGTGTTTGTCACTCACCTCACAATTCCCAATGGACGAATCTGTGCTTGTATCCAGATACGGGAGACTCAGCTGGATGATTCTTACCATTAGTATTTTGACCATGCTGGTCTTTTTAAAATTCCTTCCCAAGGATATGTTTTTATTGATTTTAGAGAGCAAGAAAGGAAAAGAGAGAGAGAGAGAAATATCAATGTGAAAGAGAAACATCGATCATTTGCCTTCCCTACATGTCCTGACCAGGGATTGAACCCACAACCTAGGTGGTGGGAATTGAACCTGCAATCTCTTTGGTACCTGGGATGATGCTCCAACCAACTGAGCCACCTGGCCAGGGCATAGTAGTCTTTTTGTTTTTCCTTTCTAACCTTTCTATTACATAGTATAGGCCTATGGGCATTGAGATTTCATCTGGTGAAACTAGACTTGGGTTCCAGCCGAGGCTTTGGAATGACGAGACTGTGTAATTGTTTTTGTTTGTTTTGTTAATCCTCACGCGAGAATATTTTCTCCATTGATTTTAGAGAGAGTGGAAAGGAGGGAAGGAGGGGTAGAGAGAGAGAGACAGAAAGAGAAACATTGATGTGAGAGAGACACATCAATTAGTTGCCTCCTGCACATGTCCCGGCAGGGGCTGGGAATCAAACCTGAAACCCAGGTAAGGGCCCTTGACTGGGAATCAAACCCGTGATCCTTTGGTGGATGGACCGACGCTCTATCCACAAAGCCACACCGCCCAGGGCAAGGCTGTGTCATTCTGATCAAATCAGTAACCTCTCAGGGCCTCAGTGTTCACATCTGTACACTGGAAACAACAATGCTAACATTCATTCAGGGTTCCTATGAACAGAAGGGAAGCCCAGTACCTGTCCCCTCTCAGCCACTGGTTGATGGCCAGGTGGAGCTGCTGGCTGGTGGCACTTTGTGCTGAGCTGGCAGAGTGACTCTGAATTAGTGTCCCTGAAGGCACAGTGATACCCTAGTCATGTGAGCCTGTGTCCCCACAGCGGCCAGTTTGCCATTGTGAAGAAGTGCCGGGAGAAGAGTACCGGGCTGGAGTACGCCGCCAAGTTCATCAAGAAGCGGCAGAGCCGGGCCAGCCGGCGGGGCGTGTGCCGGGAGGACATCGAGCGGGAGGTGAGCATCCTGCGGCAGGTGCTGCATCCCAACATCATCACGCTGCACGACGTCTTTGAGAACCGCACCGACGTGGTGCTCATCCTGGAGCTGTGAGTGGGCTGCCGGGACCCGTGGTGGGCAGCAGGGACAGGCCGGGCGGCGGAAGCTCCAGCCACAGGCCCCAGAGGAGGCGAAGTCAGTGGTGGGTGGCTGCCCTCAGTGACCCCCAGCCTCCTTCTAAACCTGGGGGAGAGCAGGGGCCAAGCAGCAGGAGAGGGTGACGGTCTAGGTCTGGCTTCCATGGGCCCTGGGGACCAAAGGGAAGGAATGGCTGGCTCTGGGTCATTTCCTGGCTGGCTGGCAGTGGGGAGGATGGAGCGGGGAGCGGAGGGGCCAGCAGGCAAGATTGTCAGGCAGGGGTCTGTTTTATGACCAACGGAAGAACAAACATCCTTTGGGCTCTGCAAAGCCCTTCTCCAGCCCTTTCCTGGAAAAATCTACTGCATTTGTGCTGTGATGCCTTTATTGTTATAATAACTATTATTTAGAGAGCTTTTGCCACATGTTTCATGCTTGTCATCTCTTTAGTCCCCCCGGGGACGGTGATGAAGGAAGTATCCTACCAACACAGAGCGGTTACTTTACCTTCACTGTGCCAGGCACGTCTCTCACCTCATCTATTCCTCAGACTAACCCTATCACACAGACTCTTCTTATCCCCATTTTACCAACAAGAACACTGCAGCCAGGTCACTTACCAGATCTGTTAGCCAGGAAGTGGTGGGGTTACCGGACCGAACCAGGTCCAAACTTTCAATAGTAGCCAGCCAAAGGACAACACAGATGATTTTATGAAAAGGAACTTTATCGCAGGCTTATAAACAAGGAACATGCCGGGGATCGCTCCCAGAACAGCGTTCCTCAGCAAAGCATCTGATCCAATTTTATTGGGGGAAATCATACATAAACATCAAGGTGAGCTTTGTCATTGAATGTATGGGTGGGGACATGCCAGGGCACCGACAGTTAGAAAACGGGCTATACATACATCGCATAGTCAAAAATAGTGGGAAATCTCTGCCTCTGGTTGGAGATTTTAGTATTATAATGAGAATATAAGTAATGAG